AAAAAAACGACGAAAGTCAAATTTTCAAACAAAAAAACAGCATCACATTTAAACTAAACAACACTCACTTGAGAGAAATACATGGTCGAAAGCTAATTAGAAAACAAGGAAGAAACACAGGACACTAAGACACACAGCCCGGCAGGTTGGAAACGTCTGATACCGCGCAAATGAGATGGATCTGTATTTATAATAGACCTTATAATTAAGCTTGCCGAGAAGAGAAAATAATTGAGCCCTATCTCCGGCCTGCAAAATCTGCAACACCGAGTAAAAGCACACCCTCTCCCCTCTCTTTTCCCGCCGACGAGATCAGATGTACGGAGAAAGGTAGGATTTGATCAAAGCAGTTTGATCGGAGAACCAATCTTGCTCCAGTCCCCCGTGACGTCACGCTGGTGCGGCGCATCGATGACCAATGATTTTCCTTCGTGCGTGTGAGTGAATTTGCGTGAACTTGGAGCGGGAGATCTCATCAATCATTGCGTATCACGAGATCAGTGCCTCGTGAGTAGTAATCGGCCTGGAGAGATGCGCACGCTAGTGAGTCGGATGGTTAAACTAGATACAAGCTCTCTGTACTGACGTAATATTATTCAATATGATGCCTACTGGAAACTTCATTTGTTAAAACGGAAAAAAACAGCACTCTGAACTAAACCGATTTTATCAATTTACTGAATCAAAGGGCCTCATGCGGGTTGATTTTTGACATAGATTGACAAAGCTATAGACAAAGAAGACAAAAGGGATATGGAAGCGAATGGTTGCAATAGACAAAGTAGGTAGGTAATGGACTAACTGGCGACAACCCATGAGAGACCCTATAGTTAGTCCACCATTTCACCCCTTAGTCTAAGTATAAGAACCACCCATTTCAACTGATAGGATTGTTCCACACTCCCTATGTCTTCTTTGTCTATAGCTTTGCTTATCAGTTTCAAAAATCAGCCCGCAGACAAGGTATGAATTGGATTGCATTTTGCAAAAAGAACCAAGAGCATTCAAATGTTGCTGGGATTGTGCAACTTGCGTTCTTTGCAAAACATTACGGAAATCATGCAAAAAATGTACGTCAAATGGTAATTTTTGTCTTGAATTCATAGTTTATTGAGAGTAAAGATATAACTTGTTTAGATGATCAATTTATACTTGCAAAGTAAAATAAGTTCCATAATCTTAGTGACATTGGAATGATCTTGGTTATTCCTTTTTGCAAAATACAAATCCAATTCAAGCAATACACCAAATGTTCCCCCTCAACATTTCACGGAGAAAATAAACTATACGATAGGAAGTAAGGAAACTCCTACACAGGACTCCTAGACAAGATATAGGTGTTTAAAATTAACACTGATTAGACATCATACAAATGACGCTATTTGGATAATCTAACATCTATTTGATTTGTGTTAGAAACACCTCTTAATATCTCGTCTGGACGTTGATTTCGAAATTTTCCGTTGCTTGAATCGTTTTTTGTGCAAGATTTTACAGAGACATCATATTATACTTTTTATTGTAGTTCAGAATTTTCCCATTTGAGATGAGATTTTTTCACAGATGGAAATCGAAACACACCAAACGAAGATCCGGCAAAAGTTAGAAGCTCAATATTTGAATAATTAACACCCAGCAAGTCCAATTTCCCGGAAGAATAAAATTCATAAACAACTCGTTACCTCCGTTTGATTTTCGGACAAAACACCTGAATCAGCTTAATTAAAATTAGTCATTGCCAAATTTTGATTGGCGTTTTATTTTTCTGATAAAAACTAAGGGATACGCTGACTTGGAATTAGTGAGTATACTCTTTATAATTTGATAGACGTTTTCGGAAAGTTTTAAGGTGGTAAGTTGTTAAATTTTCTGTTAGAGAACGAAAATCAGGTAACCAGTAATAGAGTCAGGCTGATTCTGTATGACTCATTCATTTCATGCTTCACAGTAGAAGCACTACATTGGTGCGAATGATCCATCTACGGAGACTTTAACGCAGCGGTAGAAAAGTAGCGACGAAAAAGTTAGGTTAGGTTGATTTGCTCGATAAGCATCCACTCTGAGACATCAATTTGATCGTTCATTGATTACATACTTATCGTCTAATCAACAGACAAATAAAAACGAGTGAAATTATTCGCTTCTTTCATGTTCAGTGCTTCTTTTCGCAGAGCAAAAAAATAAGACAAAGTCAGGACAGCAGCGAGGGACAAGAAAATGCAGAGTAATAAATAGAGTGTAATGAAGGAAAAGGAAGCTTGGCGAAGATTACTCACGTATGAGATAGGATTAATGACAGAATGAAACTGGGTCAGTGTATCACTGTATCAGTAATGACTCCGAGAACCCGGTATGCTTCAATCCTATTTCCGCTCCGGGTTTTGCATCGGAGCAAGAACGCTTAGGAGACGAGGAGGGTTACACAATTGCTCGGAATAAAGGAGGGGGAAGGGATCAAGAGGCGGTGCAAGATGCAAAAATTATACAAGAGAGGTAAGTGCAGTGTTGTCTGGCGAGCATACAGAATGGCAACATTCGCCCGCTTTTATTGCTTTCGGGTCGAGGTACGACACAAAATGGAAAATTTGGGAACTTCGGAATTTATTTTAATTTCTATGATTTTGTGGAAGGGGGAAACTAGGTCAGACAAGATATTCGAAGCTAAAAGAGAGTAGCTGATCATGTAGCACTGCTGCATGTTCGATCTCCTCTTAAATTTGGGTTTAGCCCACTGATTGGACGCATTGGATTACATTTTACAATAAAAAACCACTATTTCTGACCCATTTTAGAAACATCATACATGCCATTGAATTCCTTATGCAGATATGTGCTTTATGAAAGAGTCAGAGATTGCAATTGCAGAGGTTCCTTATTGCAAAATTTAATCCAATTTAACCATAGATTGAACTATATCAAACGCTGCTTCTTCTTCTCAAGTTTCATTTTTTTAAACAGAAAATTAACTGAAATCTAATTTGAGATTTCATAAGAAGACTCTTTATAGTCTGAGGAAAACTCAGGAAACTTTGGAACCTTGGGGTTGATTACCCAGAAAAACACCTTTTTCCGGTCCTGTATGTTAGAAAGGACGGAAATATTCCGTAATTTCTCATTCTGAGCTGACAATCGGTTAAATGAGTATAAGAGGATTCGGAATGA